AGGGCAAAATTAAATCTAACAAAAATTGATCAAAGGTGCACATAGCAATACAATTTGTGGTTTAAAAATATGAATGAAGTATATTGTCCTTGGAGAAAATCTTTCTGAGAAGAATGAAAGGGTAGGTATGGTGGGTGAAAGCACATGGGGGAAGTTAGCTGAGAATTTCTTTGGACGACTAACAAGTTGAACACAGGGAAGAGTGTCCAGGAAGCAAATCTCCAAAATGAAAAAGGACAAACTTTCCGTCTGTCTCTCTGTCTCTCTGTCTCTCTGTCTCTGTCTCTGTCTCTGTCTCTCTCTCTTTCTCTACACACACACACACACACACACACACGTATAATTGAATAGACAATGTTTTCTCATGAATCAAAATTCAACTAGAATTCCCCTAAAATCAGATTTTCTGGGACAGGAAACATACTGGGTTTCATAGTGCAAGGTTGTTTTCCTGTCCCTTTAACTAGAAGTTCTAGTTCAACCCACTTAATCCATTTCTGAAGATCTTTGGAAAGTCTGATGTGGCCTACTGATGTCTATGTGTCATCCGTGAGCCCCAAGTAAAAGTTGATAATATGCTTATTGTGAAACAGAAAAACAACAGTTTTGAAAAAATATATACTTTGGAGCTGTCTAATCATAGAGTGATGGAATATTACATAGAATCATCCTTTGAAAATGAAGGAATGACCATAAACTGATCTTGAGTTGACATATTTACTGAAATAAATATCCTTCATAAAACTCAAAACATACTATTGTTATGTACATAAAAAATGCCTCTAAATGGTCTGACAAATATGAAGAGAAACTTCCTAATACATTCAGATTAGCAAAGGCCAGGATTGACAACCAAGTCAAAAATTATGAGATGAATTATATGTCAAATCTGAAACACACCTCTTTTTTCATTCATTCATTCTTCATTCATTCATTCATTCATTCTACATCCTGATTGCAGCCCCTTTCTTCCAGTCTCCCCCTCACATAGCTCCTCTCCCCATATCCTGTCTCTTTCTCCTCTGATAAAGGGGAAGGCCTCTTCTAGATATCAACCTACCCTAGCACATCAAGTCACTGCAGGACTAGGCACATCCTCTCCTACTGAGGTCAGAGAAGGCACTTCAGGTAGGGGAACAGGGAGGCAATAGAGTCAGGAACAACTTCCTCTCCAGTTATTGGGAGACCCACATAAAAACCAAGCAAAACATACATGCAGGGGTCCTAGGTTTGGCCCATGTGTGCTCTTTGGTCTCCTTTGAGAGCCACCAAGGGTCGTGGTTACGACACTGTTGGTCTTCTTAGAAATATACACATTACAATACAAAAAAAGCATGTTTTCTTTACAACCTTTTTCTTCAACATGTATTGATTATATGTAAGTAATTACTTGTTTCTAAGTAATAACTTCTCATTAAATAATGTACTAACCAAAATTTTGGGACTGCTGTTTCAGGAATAGATATTCACAGCCTGCAGAGTGTTTTCACACTCTTCCTTCCGCCTGCAGTCCTACGGTTTTCACATTTTCTTGGCTTATATTCCCATTTGACTTTTCAGTATTTACAGCATCTCTCCCACTGTTTTTGAAAATGGAACATTTTAAAATGTGCAGTGTTTAGCTACACTTAGCCATTCCATTGTTTTCTGCTTATGCGATTCTTTCGTAGTTAACGATACATTTCCTTTGTTCTTACTGTGGATAAAGTGAGGAAAGAAAACAAGCCAGGCCCATTAGTCAGTGACTCCTGGCATGTTTATCAGGCTCATCTGCATCTTAATCAATGCTAACTAATGCCTAATTGCTTTTTAGTTTTAATTGATCGTTGAATTCTAAACATTAAAACTGTAGAACACCATCAAGAATAAGAAAAAGGAGAAAGGCAATAGTAAGGAAAAAGGAAGGAAGGCAGGGAGGGAAGACAAGGAAGGTAGGGGAAGGAAGTACTTTGGGGCCATTACAAGCCCAGGGCAAGCAAAAGTGAGAGAAGTGGGAGAATATGAAGACATGGAATGAGGTGGAGGGAGAATAAAAGCAAACGAGGAAGAAGTAAGAAAATTAGGGAAGTAAAGAACTGAAAAAGGAGGAATTCAATTTGGAAGGAATGAACTTCAATAACTCCTGCCCTGATTATGCTTTTTAGAAATCAGAATTATGTAAACTAGTTCTTCCCAGCAAACATTTGTGAGATTCTTGACAATATTCCTATGGAAAGGTATCCTTTGTGATCAATGCTGTAATCACGTTTATCACACAATTACTGAACAAAATGGCATTAATTGTACCAGAGAATACAACTCAGTTTCCAAAATATTGTCTTCCAAATGTATTCTGATGCTCAAGTAATTGCATTTACTCATGAATACAGCACAACATCTGATTTTGAGAAAGCTTCTGAATCAGTTTGTGTACCAGCATCCTGGTCTATAAACGCAGTGCTTCCTAACAGCTACCCGTTAGTATTAAGTGTCACAAAAAGCCTATGGCTTGCATAAAATAAATTTTTATTAACCAAGTAAAATCTCAAAAATGATAATAAGTAAATCTACTATTTGCATATATCTATCTGTATGGTTAAATTTAAAACATTAAAAAAGATATCTTTTTCAGATTCATCATAAGCAAATTCTAAGAGTTGTGTGCTTGTTTGTTGTTTTCTTGTTTACTTATTTGTTTTAAAAAGAGGAAGAAGAGATAAGAGATTGCTTCAGGTCAACTGGAGAGCTTGTATATATATATATATATACCAAAATAGAATATGTAAATGAGACTGTTGCAATTCAGTCCTAGAGACTTCTGAAAGATACTAGAACATATTGTAGAGTATTTACCCCAAGGAATACTACACTAAAATACTTTTTTTTCTTTTTTAATCATTATAGGTATCATAATAACTGATTTCTAGGTACTTTGTATATTTTTGAATCTAAAATATTCATTCGTATTTCTTTCTTTCTTTGTTTTTTGTTTTTTGTTTGTTTGCTTGCTTATTAGTTCTTTCTGACTTTCACATCATGCACTGCAATCCTACTCATCCACCCCTCAGACCTGCCCTCCACACTAGCAACCTCTACCCAGCAAAGAAAAAAAGAATCTCTTTGTGGAAGCTGTGGTGTGTCCCAGTGTGTCCACATTTCATTGCTTGCAGACGTTCATTGACTCATTGGTCTGGTATGAGCCCTCTGTCTTCTGCTGCTCTGTCACTGGAATCTCGCTGGGACTCCTCTTAGATATCCTACCATTGTCCTGTATCATGGAGATCCTGCAGCTTGGAATCTGTAGCAACAGCACCTTCATGCACCCCAGCAATTAATCGATAGGATAAATATTGGGGCAGGCCAATATCTGGGCCTGAGAGGCATCTGAGCTGGTCAGTCTGCCAGCTCTCCTCCTCCCAGGCCCTCGGGGTCAGCTCACCAGCAACACCCCTGAAACTAATGACACCTCTACTCTGTTGCCCAGGAGAGGTGCAGAGCCCACTCTCCTGAGTGTTGGCAGCTGGTGTCGGACATGATCAATTCCTTTACTTTCATGACTCTGGGGCCAGCTCTCCAGCCTGGCATAGATGGAGAGGGACAAGGAGTGGAGACAGTCATCTCTCTGTCCTCCTTACCAGCACCCAACAGATAAGAAGCAGGATTGGCTTTCTGTTATTGTAACCGTCACATCTAGTCCTAGGTGAGGTACAGTGCCTGCTCTCCTGAGTGCTGCAGAAGGTGAAGGGCAAAGACAGCTCTCCTGATAACCTTGAAGCTATCTTTCCTGCCTGCCTTAGGTGGCAAGGTACAAGATAGGGCATCTCTCCCTTGCCCATTTTACATCAGGGTAGACAAGTGGCTGGTAGGGTACGCTCTACTACGTTCATACCCTCTGGCAAGCTTTTCTTCTTCCCTATGACCAAAGTTAGCTATGCTGTGCTGAGCTGCCCAGCTGAGGTACAAGGTCTGCCTTCCCTAGTGTGCATCTGATGAGGGGCAGGGACAGCTCTCCTGCTCTTATGACCCCAGGACCAGGTCTTATACCTGTAGTAGGTTGTGAAAAGTGAAAGGAGAGGAGGGTACCTCTTCCTTGTCCATGTTGCCGTATGCAATATGAATGGGAGGGCCAGAGGATAAAGCTTTTAATCTCAGGGCCAGCTCACTTGCTCTCCAGAGTGCTACTACAGCTGGCCAGGGTAGGGTTAGTGTTTCTGTTCTCATGTCCTCATGGCTAGCTCTCCCACAATGACCAGGTGAGGAACGGGACCATTTCTGCACAAGTCTCAGACATCAACATGTCCCTGGTAGACAGCACAGACCAGGTACATCCTCTTGGCCTTTGATTGTAACCGACCACTGCTGCTGCTACACCAAGGACCCAGAAGTAGCAATCCCCGGGGCAGCACAGGACTCTACCATGGCCTCAGGTGGTATCACTGGCTGGCTATTCACATCAGGCTGTCCCTTGAGTCTCCAGTTCTCTCTCTCTCTCTCTCTCTCTCTCTCTCTCTCTCTCTCTCTCTCT